TTAATTTAAAATTACATTTCAACTAATTTACAATTTTTCATTCACTAATTGTGCTTTTACTTTAAATAGATTTTACAATTTAATTATTATATTATCTATTAATTAAATAAATAGAAATATAAAAATTAACGGAAAAATGAAAAATTGTAAAAATTAAAAAAACAAAAAAAAGAGTTGAATCGGATTAGGTCAACTGAGTTGACTGGGTTTGAGAGGGTTTAACCAGATTTGAATAAGTTTGACTAGGTTTATGTAGGGTTGGATTGCCAACCGGGCGTGAGGCCAATGGTTGCTCCAAGTTTAGGGTTTGCGTGAGGCGATGGTTAGGGTTTTGAGTTCTACCACTGTCGTGAACTCCATCAATTTGTGATTTAATGGCTCGCGCGACTCATTTGAGAGGTGGAATGTTTATTATTCTGATAAATTTCAGTTGCTAACAACTAACTCTACTAACTTTCTAACCATTATCTTTATTAAAAAAAAAAAAAAGTTTTGATTGAATTTAGATAGATTTTGATTAGATTTAATTTCAAACAAGTTATTATTATAACCTGGTCTACTTTTAAAATCAAATCTAATTTAATTGATTGGACTGATCTTGTCAGACGGGGTTTCAAAACAACGGTTTGTTACCGTCAATTTCACCAACTCAACTCAATGCAAATAAAAATTCATTTCAATGTCGCTAGTAGTGTAAAGTATAGTATTTTTCTTTATCAAAGAAATTGAAGATTTTCTTGCCGATAACATATTTTACTTTGGGTTTTTCTATTGTATTAAACATATAATTATTAAATATTTTTTATTAATATACATAAAAAAGAATACAAATTGATAAAAATTTTACTATTAATTATCTAATTAAAAAAATTCATATGATATAAGTATCAAACTTAATGTTAACATTTTATTTTTTTTATAAATTAATATATAAAAAGTATATTTAATATACAATTTAGGTCAACTATGTTCTTTTTCTTTTTCTTTTTTGGTTTATAATTTTAGATATTTTAAGTATTAAATTGTCATTAAAAAATGAAATTAGGCTATAAATAGGAGAGAGAAACAAGAACAGTCAGACCAATCAGACCGGTTGCAGATGCGGAGTACAGCTAGCCTACACTCGGTAGGGAGGGAGGGATTTAGAAAAGTAGGGTAATATCTTTGTTGAATACATCATCATTGGTTGAGTAAACACAATATTGGATTATATGGGTCCGACTGATTGAATTAATAGATTTGTAATTTCAACAACAATAGGTAACTTTGCAACGGAAGTCATGGAAATTTGGCAGTATAAGAAAAGTAGAAAAGGGTAATGTTAATGTTATGACCTAGGCATAAAATCTTAGGAAGAATTTTTTTTTTTTTTTTGGTTGTCAGCATATATCTTAGGAAGAATTAATTGTGTCCTATTTAACTATTGCAGCTTGTAAACCATTGAGTGAGCGCTTTTTTGTTGGAGAAGGTAAAGAAAGAGATTCAGGATTTCTTCAATCTCCCAATGGAAGAGAAGAAAAAATATTGGCAGTACCCAGGAGAACTAGAAGGATTTGGACAGGCCTTTGTTCTGTCTGAGGAGCAAAAGCTTGATCGGGGTGATCTCTTTTTCATGATCAACCTCCCACACCATTTCAGAAAACCCCATCTGTTCCCTAAGCTGCCTCTTTCTTTCAGGTCTTCCATCTTTCATTGAGTGTGATTTGGTTTTTAACTTAAATCTCCCTTTTCTTTTCTTCGTGTAGAGATACATTGGAAATTTACGCATTGGAGCTGAAAAATCTAGCCTTTACCATTTTAAAAAACGTGGCAAAGGCACTTGAAATGGAAAGCGGAGAAATGGAGGAATTCTTTGAAGAGGGTTTTCAGTCAATGAGGATGAACTGTTAACCTCCATGTCCTGAACCAGAAAAGGTTATTGGGCTCATTCCTCATTCTGATGCTGTAGGCCTTACCATCCTGCTTCAGATAAATGAAGTAGAGGGCCTCCAGATAAAAAAAGATGGCAAATGGGTTCCAATTAAGCCCCTCCCAAATGCCTTCATCATCAACATTGGAGACGTTTTGGAGGTAATTACTATCATAATTGTACTTGCTTCCTTTTGGAGAAATGAAAATCATGGTTTTGATGACACATGAATTGAACTTCTTTTGGTAGGTTATAACAAATGGAGCATATCGTAGCATCACTCACCGCGCGACAATTAACTCAGAAAGAGAAAGGCTCTCCATTGCCACATTCTATAACCCGAAGTATGAAGGGCAAATAGGCCCAGCAAGAAGCTTGATCTCTTACCTTGATACCCTGAGACTGTAACAGGGTTAGACCTGCAGTGATGTTCAATGCATAATGTTGATGAGGAGTTAGAGAGAATAAGAAATAAATGTGAAAAATGTGCTGCTATATATATAAAACTAAGTTGAGGAGAAGCTACAATGAAGTCTATTTCTTTTCAAATTAAAATATAAAAACTTTAATATATAAAAGATGCTAAAAAGTGACCTTGTTTGGT